GTTTATAAAAAATGCTGCTTTTATTAAAATTTATAATCTTCACAAAAAAAATAACATTAAAAATTGTATCTAACCCAAAAAGTGGTAATCAATTCTAAATTATCAGAACCTAAAACGCGTTTCTCTAATTCCGAATATGGTTTTGTTTATTGTGAAAGATGTAATGTATTGTTATTGTGCTATTGTTAAATGGAGGTGGGAAGATCGAGTATGATGTTACAATTGGTGTAAATACTGCGACGAAGTTGGTGAAGATGATAAACGATATAAGAATCGAGCTAATCATAATTTGCGAGACTGTTAATAAACCATCGGAAAAATTAAGTACTACGAATGAATGGTCGAAATTAAATGAAGAATGGAATATGTAAAAAATTGAATGTTTAATTTGTTCATTAAAAAAGTGGATTAAACGTCATTTTAAGGGACAACGGTGTCCAAAGTCTAAAGAACAGATTTGGAATGATTGGTTGGATAATGATGAATTAGGAAAGAATATTTTTACTTTATTCCGCTAGTACTAGTTATAAGTTTTAAATGCTAAAAACTTAGAACTTCGAGTATGCTATATGGGGTGAGTCAGTAAAAACGCATATTTTTTCTAAGTAAATTTTTTAAAACATTAAACAAGAATAACTCAACAACAAATAATCAAATTCAATAAAAAAATTTTAATAGTTTTTTATACATACCGGCGTTATTTCGAATTTCGGCCTAATTCAGGCCGAAGTTCGAAAATACACCCTGCGCGTTATACTGTTGTAATTTTTTATATTACAATAACAACTTAAAACCGGTTCATATTACTTATTTGTATTATACAAATTCATTTGATATCGATATCGGCAGAAAACCGAGATAATAAGAAATTGCAAATTTTAAAGAGCTACACTGCAAAATTTTATTAATACAACTACTTTTGTGTTTTAAATAAAAACTGATTCTAATCTTATTCTAAATTGATTTATGCGATTCTAAATATTACAGTATTATCGAAACCGGTTTATGACAAATAAATTTTATACTATATACAGTATGTTGTAAACTAAAATTTTAGAATACATAAAAAAATATCAACTTGTTTATAATATTCATAAACTTTGACAAATATTTTGCCGATTCACACAACATGGTCATAATCTAAATACAGAAAAAATCCGTGGGTACGTACTGATTAGATCTCTCTGAGACGCGTCCGCTCGTTTGATCGTTATTTAAAGAAAGTGAGATCTAATAGTCTTGACATCAAATTTGAAACCTTTTCGAAATGAAAAATATCAACATTCGCAAATTAAACAAAAACTCTACTTTACCACCCGAAAGTTATCAAAAATATCTTCATCATTTTTTGAACCCGCCTCTTAGTTCGAAAATTGATAAAACCTTACCATTTAGTAAACAATCAAAAGAATTTTCTGCTGTATTAATAAGTATAAAAGATGCAAACAGATATGGTGACGATTTCATTTTGGCAGCGCGGAAATTTATTAATGGTATAAAAATTCATTATTTTTATTTTTAATCGAACTAGCGATGATGATAATTATATTCTTAAATAATAATAGAGTTACGTAAGAAAACTATTAACAGCTCCAATTCATTAATCGAAGAGTCTTCTTGCCAAACATCAGTTAATCAGCAACAACAAATTAATGACACAGAATCTCTGCTTCAGGATCAAATTGATTTAGAGATATCGGACAACACATTGGTTATTCTAAATAGTGAAAATTCAAATTCAAGTTGTCAAACTTCAAGTCAGTCATACTCAATTAATGGAAATTCAAATCAATCAAATAAAGATTTGGGTCAAACTCCAAATCAACAACAGCAAGCGATTTATATTTGTCATAACGATAATAATCAAACTAATAGGACTAATAATGATAATATAATTAAAAACAACTGGCGTTTTATTGCGACTATTGTTGCGCTTACGATAATCTGTGGGTTGACTATAAAGGTAATAAATAACATTATTTAATTAATTAACACCTAATTAATATTTTTTTAAAAACTTTTATTTAAATAGAATAATAGTGATAATGTCAATTCTATCTGGCAATATGTAAGTTATATATTATTTAATCTTATGAATATTTAATAGAATTATGAATTAATTCTGATAATCATTATGGTAGACCAACGAAAGATTATTCGGGATCATAGAAAATCTTAATCATGTAAGAGTATTTCATATTTTATTAATACACTTATAATTATTCTAATAAATCATATTTCGAATAGGTACCAGCAAATATTTGGAATGCCAATAACCTCGAAGCGGAAAACACGGATTTGAAAATAAAAAATGCGGCGCTAGAAACTGAAAATACGAACTTAAAGATTGAGAATGCAGATCTTAAATCACAAAAAGATGTGCTTAAAGAAACCCATTCCAACTTATTGTCAAAACATGATGCCCTCGAATTGGAACACGTAAACCTAAAATTGCAAATTCAAGATTCAATAAATAAGATACAGAACCTCGAAACGGAAAAGGTGAACCTTAAATTGTCATACAAAGAACTTGAAGCACAAATCCAAGGAGCAAAAAATAAGATTCAGGACCTCGAAGCACAAATTAAAGAATCAAAAAATAAGATTCACGATCTCGAAGAAAAACGTTCGGAGCTCCAAAAAACACATACGGATCTCACGTTAAAGTACTCTGTTCTACAAAAAGAACTTGCCAAGTTTCAACATGAGAAGGTGAAAAGCGAAGAAGAAATTAACAAATTAAAAAAAGAAATTAACGAAATAATCACTGCAAGAACTCAAGTCGAGAGTAATTTGTTGTTAACAATCGATGGATTGAGAATAGAAAAGCATGAAAAAAATGAAAAGATAGATGAACTGAATAAACAAATAGATAATTTGAATAAAAAAATAGATGATCTGAAAGATGAGAAGGTAAATAATGCGGTTGAACAAACAAAAAAAAGATGTAAATAAAATTTCTTAGTTCAGTAGTTGGCTTGATAAGTATATAAATAAAAGAAATGCATTAGAAAAAACATATAAAAAAAACAGACAAGTAAGAGCTATTGTAACTGTTATGTTAAAACTAGTTCGTGTTAATGCGGGAAAAGCATTGGCTACTTCCCTCACATGAACAAGATTATTGAATGTTACGATTTTTCAATTTTTTATTAAAATACTTTTCAAATCAAGATTATTAACTACAAATTTGATACTAATAACAAATGTAAAAAATCCAAAATATAAAACTCAAATAAAAGACTAATAAATATTGTGATGATAAAAAACACAAATATGTGAAGATCGAATTTATAACTACAAAATTTATTAAAGATTAAAAAGGGTTTCTTAATTAATAATATTTAAATAGAAATGTAAACTGTTACAACTCTTAACCAAATGCGAACAAGGTGGTTGGTTTTTCGGAAATGTGTTATAATTTACCCGACTCGGAATATTTCGGAACTCGGCTAGATTATGTTGCTGCCCGAATATTCCGCACGTGATTTTTGAATCCCGCGCATCACGTGCGGTGACCATCACTACGGCTAGCAAAGTAATGGCAGAAAAAATTGGCAGTCCTGTGATGAGAAATTTATTTTTGTT